ACACAACTGTCCCCCCACCCCACACACCTCCCCCTCCTCCCCCCCCACAACTACCCCCCCCCGAAGTGTCCCGCTTTCTCACACTTGCTCGCTCGTCCCCCTACGCCCAAGGCTCCCCCGCCCCCCTCCTGCTCCCTTAGGCTGCGGTAGGTTTCCACTTATTTGCAAACATGCAAATCAGCTCATTAACCACTTTGCATAAACGATCGGGGGGGCGGGGCTCAGCCGCCGGCCCGGCGCGAACTACATCCCCCAGGGTGCCCCGGGCGCGGCGGCGTGTCACGTGTTTCCCGTCTCTAGGGCCCCGCCCCCCCTCCCCCCAGAGCAGCGCCTGGGACCCGCCACCTGCCCCGTGGTCCTGCCCCGCGCCGCCTGCAACATGTTCCCGCGCTGCCTGGGCCGCCTGGCTGGGGTGAGTGGGGGGCGCCGAGCCCCCCTTGCGCGTGCACGTGGGCTGGGGGGCTCGTGGGGGGGATGTGGGGGGCTCGTGCTGGGGGGTGGGCATGTGGGGGGCTGGGGGTGGGGGGATGTGTTTTGCAAAATATCTCGGCTTCCCCCCCCCCCAGCCCCAGATGCGCCCCCCCCCCATGTAGGCCACGTGCCCTGGCTGGGCCCCTTTGCAGAGCGCTGTTGCCCCCCCCGAGCAGTGCAAATATGGGGGTGCTCCCTCCCCCCCCACTCCCTGCCCCAGCTGAGTCCCGCCCCAGTGCGATTTCATGGCAGGCTCAGCCCTGCGGGTCCCCGGCTTCTGCTTCCAGCTGCCCCATAGGAAGCCCTCGTTCCTGGGGGGGCTCAGGAGAGAGATGGGGGAGGGTGTCACGCCCCCGCCAAGGAGAGAGATGGGGGGGTGTTACGCCCCTGCCAGGCTCGCAGAGGGAGCTGGGTCACTCGCCGGCCCTGTGATGGGTCGCTCCGCTTTGCTCTCCTGCACGCCCATTATGGGTGCATTGGCGGGTGCTGCCCAGCTGTTTGCATGGGGGGCGGGCACGTGCCAGGCTCATGCCAGAGCCATCCTCCGCTCTCCACCTGCCTTGCTCCAGCTCCCTGACACCCCCCCTCCCCTCTCCCAGTGCAGCGGTGAACAGGGCCCGGTGGCCATCGGTCAAACCTCGGCGCCGGACCAAAGTCTCCTTGTCATGAGTTTTGTGCCGTCAGGTGTATCGATACTCACCGCTGACCCCTTTGAACTGAGTCAATACGGCCCCAGCGGCCTCTCACCTCCCCGCAGCTTTTCTCTTGGCGTCTTTAACTAGTGCGATTGGGGGTGTCAGGGGGAGAAGAGAGAGAAAGAAAGGGGGGGGGAAGCTTAACTCTGAAGATTTGGGACCAGCTCCCTCATCACGGGGCGGCGAGAGCCGCTTGCCGCGTGGGTTAGAACTTGCAGAAGTTTCTTCTGACTAACTGTGTTTTATTGTCTGGGGAAACTGGGCACATGGTGGGGCTTTCAAGCCAGCTGATGCAAGGGCAGTGACCTAGTTGCATCATGCCCGCTGCTGAGGCCTACAAGGGATACAGCAGAACTGGCCGCTCAGCCCCACATCTCCTTGGGAACCTGGAGGACGCCCTCAGGCAGCCACAGAGACCAAAAAAACCCCAATACAGTGCACACTGCGTTAAACATCAGCTACTACAAAATCAAGGGAAAGGTTTTTTTAGTTAAAGATGTGGCAGGGTAAGGAACCAGTTTCTGGGCTTCAGCTGCAAACTTTTGAAAGACCCAGAAAGTTTTGTTCACAATCCCGAACAGCCGCCGTTCCCGAGGTTCCACTGCGTCCGGGTCTGGCCCCGGGAGAGGGACGTGCGCTCCTTCTCGCGGTTGGCCCCTCGGTGCTGTGACGGGGGGCTCTGGCGGTGCCTGAGAAAGGGACAAAGCTGGCGGGCTCCCTAGCCCCCGAACGCCGCTCTCCTGGAGAGCTCCGCCGCGCTCGGCCTGGTGGAGCCAGCCGGCGATTTCGGGAGCAAGAACTTGTCTTCCCAGCTGGGAGTGGTTTGGTGCCGCGGTGGCCCCGGATCCTGGGGGGTCTGTCTGTGCGGATCCAGTCGGGGCTCCGAGAGACGCCCCGGCACATAGCTCGCTCCGCAGCATCTTTCTCTTGGCTGTGTTGTCTGGAAAGGCCACTGTCTGGGTTGCACTGGGAGGCCTGGGAGCCTATGGAGGGATCAACGCCCCCAGGCAGGGCCCAGGTCTCTCCCGGCCCCTGGGGAGCTGGCTGGCCCCTCGCGGGCAGAGTCTGTAGCTCTCGGGGATCAGCCCTGGAGGATCCAAGAGGGGGGTGAGGATCAGCTGGGAGGGGCGGGGGGGAGTGGAAGTGGTGCACTCGCAGCAGGGGACGCTGTCTCCCAGTATGGTTTGGGGTGGCAGGTGGCGTTTAGACAGGTGTCCAGGGAGAAAATGGGGGGGGGGGAGAGAGCCCAGGGGGCAAACTGGCCTGGTGGGTTAGTGCAGGGAAGAGCACTCTGTCGGGGTGGGGTGGGGGTGGGTGGGAGGGGTCATGGTGGGGGGGCAATGCACAGTGGGGAGCCTGGACCGGGGCTGGGGGGCAGAGATCTGTCTCCAGGCGCTTGTTGTTCCGTGTGACACATGAGTGAGCCATGGCAGGAAGTGTGTGTGTGTGTGGGGGGCACACGAAGGACAGACTTCAGCCCCCACCCCATCCTGTGCGTGCAGATGTGCTCTCCCCACCCATCACGCCCAGGCCCGTGCACACTCAGCTCATTCTGCTCCCCCCACCCTGGTTTGCACACTCAAGTGCGCTCTCTCGCACGCCTGCAGTCTCTTCCTCCTCCCCCCCCCCCCCCCCCCCCCCCCTCTGTCCCCCCCCCCCCCCCCCGCTCCCCCCGCCGCGCCCCCCCGCCCCCCCCCCCGGGGTCTCGCCCCCCCCCCCCCCCCCCCCGGGATTTTGTTGCTGTTTCCGCTGCTTTAACCCGATTTTCCAGCTGTGGCGACTGAGACACGAGGAAAGGGACACGCACGCACACACCGGGTCATGTGACTCACGTGGTCCCCTGGCTTCCCCAGTCAGCCTGGGCTCCTCACCACACACCCCCCCCCCCATTGCTGTGTGGCTGCCCCCTCTCCCCAGACCGGGTGATCGGTGCCCTGCACAAGGGCCCAGCTGTTCCCGCGCTCCCAGGCCTCCGAGAAACGCCTCCTCTGGCTGCACAAATGAACCAGAGAAGGAAGGAAGCTCCCCCCGCCCCAACCCGAGCCCTCTTCCCCCCCTCCCTGGCCAGAGCTGCCCCCTGTTGGAGGGAGAGGGCTGCACCCCACAAGGGATGGGGTGTTGGGGGACCTCCCCCCCCCGGTTACTGTCTGGTCGGTTGTTAAAGCAGAGGGACCTGGGAGCCAGGACTCCTGGGTTCTATACCCAGCTCTGGGCGGGGAGTGGGGTCTAGTGGTTAGAGCAGAGGGGGCTGGGAGCCAGGACTCCTGGGTTCTATTCCTGACTCCCCACGTGTGCCTTGAGGATATCAGGGTGTTCTGTGGCTGTGTATCCCCAAAGGTACCAGAGAAGGGTGGGTTCCCTGGTGAGGTGCCCCCCATGGCGTGGGGGTACAGGCGTGTGTGTGTGCGGGGGTGTTGGTGGTTACGCCTCTCTCTGGTGATGACGCTTCCCCCTTCCCGTTGCCAGCCTCTGCAGAGACGCTGGCGGCTGGACACGCCCGGCCTGCGGGCCCAGCACAGCCGCGCGGCTGCGGCTGCAGCTGGGGAGGTGCCCGGCTGGACCGGGCAGGAGAGCCTGGCGGAGAGCGACCCCGAGATGTGGGAGCTGGTGCAGAAGGAGAAGGATCGGCAGTGCCGGGGCCTGGAGCTCATTGCCTCCGAGGTGGGTGCGGGGGCAGGGGTGGAGGGAGGGGGGGGCGTCGGAGGGCGGCTGGGAAAGCAGTGGGGGGGCTGGGGTGGAGGGAAGGGGGGGCGGCGGAGGGCGGCCGGGGAGGCGGGGGGGGGGGGGGGGGGGGGGGGGGGGGGGGGGGGGGGGGGGGGGGCCCCGGGGGGGGGGGGGCTGTGTTGCCCTGAGGGCCCCCCCCTTGCCTTTGATTCCTCCCAAGTACGTGCTGGAGGCCCCCCCCCCTTCGCAGCTGCTTTCTAACCGGGGGGGGGGGGGTGTCTGAGGCTGACCCTGCATTGCCCCTCAGGTTCCTGGTTGAGGCTGGGTTGGGGGCCCCAGTGCTCGCCCTCCCCCCTGGGCCATCTCACCCCCACACACACATCCCCAGCTTCGCTCTCTGCCCCCCAGAATTTCTGCAGCCGCGCCGCGCTGGAGGCCCTGGGCTCCTGTCTGAACAACAAGTACTCGGAGGGCTACCCCGGCAAGAGGTACGGGGGGGGCAGCACCCTGGGCAGGGGGCACCCTGCGGGGACCTGCTCTGGGGTGGAACATGGAGAAGCCACACACGGACCCTGGGGGCCCAGGTCTCCTTGGCAGTCGGGGGCTGGGGGGCGCAACCCTCCCCTCCCCAGTGGTAACTCGCTGGGTGTGGCCCTCTGGCCCTTGGGGGAGGGGCTGGGGCTGTCGTTTTTTGGGTGATCATGTCAGTTCCCTCCAGGGCCTCCAGCAGCCCTGAGGGTGGGGGTGATGGGCCCCAGGTTCCCCTCCTTGCAGGTACCAGGGGAGGGGGCAGAGACGCCCCAAGGGGGGTGATGGGCCCCGGGTTCCCCCCATTGCGGGTACTGGGGGGGCAGGGAGGGCCCCAAGGGGGGTGATGGGCCCCAGGTTCCCCCACTTTGCGGGTACTGGGGGGGCAGGGAGGGCCCCAAGGGGGGTGATGGGTCCTGGGTTCCCTCCAGGTGCCCCGCGGGGGGGTCTGCTTGGGGGGCTCAGCCTTGGTTCCCCCCCCGCAGGTACTACGGGGGGGCCGAGGTGGTGGACCAAATCGAGCTGCTGTGCCAGCAGCGGGCACTGGAGGCCTTTGACCTGGACCCCGCCCGCTGGGGGGTGAACGTCCAGCCCTACTCGGGGTCACCCGCCAACTTCGCCGCCTACACGGCCCTGCTGCAGCCCCACGAGCGCATCATGGGCCTGGACCTGCCGGACGGCGGCCAGTACGTCCCCCCGCGGACAGCGGGGCGAGGGGGCCCTGGGAGGGAGGGGGGCAGGGCTCTGGGGGGTGCTCAGCCTGGCAGTACTGGGGTGGGGGAGGAGGCGGGGGGGGCAGGGTCTGGCTGAGAGGCCCCGGGATTCGGGGGGGGGGGGGGGGGGGGGGGGGGGTCTTGCTTGGTCTCCAGGCGGTGGCTCTGGCCTGACGCCGTCCGTCTCTCCCGCAGCCTGACCCACGGGTACATGTCGGACGTCAAGCGCATCTCGGCCACCTCCATCTTCTTCGAGTCCATGCCCTATAAACTCAACGTGAGTGGGGAGGGGCCAGCGTGTGTGCAGGGTGCTCGCGGGGGGGGGGG